ATATATATATATATATGTATATATGAAAAATATATCAAAAATGCATGTGGGTATTCAAATGAAAGCTCTTGATGAGTGTATCATCGGGATGAGCTTTATATACCATTTTTTTTTATTTTAATTTAATAAAATTTTATTGTTTCAGATATCAGTGATACAAAAGAAAATGCTACTAAAAAGTTACACTTATTATCACTTTTACCGAGATCTCGCGCAAAAAGACTGTTAAATCAGTGGCTACATCCCGTAAGCTTTATGATACGAGCTCGTGAGCATGCTGGAAATATTTTATCTGGTGAAATATGCCAGAACCGCGGAAGAACTTTACAGCATTGTCACCGACATAACGGGCTTGCCGCTTTTCCTTCAGCAGATCGTCTATCACCTCTCGATACTTTTCTTGATTTGTTAACTGCTAAAGCAAGTCTTGCAGAATTAGATTTTGGTTTGCTTATAGAAGCAACTGTCACTTCCACTGAAGATTTTCTTTAAATATTATATTTATGTTTGGTTGTTATATTTCAATTGTTGCTCAATTATCAGATTTATAATAATGGCAAAGTTTACTTAGCATAAATGTTTTTGTTGAATTATGTTGTCGTGTAGTCTAATTAAATACAAGAATTAGTACTTTTATTTTATTTATGTTAAATTTTTGAGTGCCATGTAAATAGTACAATAATGCAATTATTTTCCGTTGTTTGAGTATAAATTACTCCATATTGAGTTAATTATCGTACACCGAACTCTGGAAAATTGAAGCACCATCCAGTATTGACTTCCATTAATTGTTATTTATTAAATTAATACTATAGATGTTTATGTTGTAGCAAAACAATTTTCAATATTGTTTTCCATGGGTTGTTTCGCTTAATTATTTTTTAGAATAATTTTATTTGTAACTCTAATATTATATACAAGTGTGATAAGTAATATCGATAAAAATGTCCAATATAATTGAACTTTTTTTTATTTTAAATAAATTTATTACTTAAAAAAACTGCTTTTAATTATGTTATTAAAGTTAAAAGTCACTTGAGTATTTTAAAATTTTTTTCTAACAAATAAATTTGTTCGAAAAAATTATTTTTTAAAAATTGCATTTTGAATTTTTAAAAATTTCTACATGTCATTTTTTTTTTTATAATTTATTTTTTAAAAAAATTATTAAATATCTGCTAAATTAATTTGATGTTTTAATCAATTTAAGCAATTTTACTATCAATAGAATTTATTTCAATAATTGTTTTAATTTAAAATTTCTTTAAAAAAAAAAAAATACTATTTTACAGAAGATTATTTTTTTGTATAAATTCTACTGACCTCAGGTAAAATTATTTATAAATGTACTTGAAACAATTCATAAATTAACTGTTTACTTAAAAAAATATTTTTGCATGCAAAACTCGTACCAACATAATTTTCACAAACACACTTATATATACAGTCACGTAATGACACTGGATGTAGTGTAGTCGGTGTAGTCGCTACTTATACATTGCTTACATTAACTAAATACGTGTTTGTAATTTTTTTTTTTTTTTCTAAATGGAAATATTGTTGTTATCTTATTAAATTTATCTATCAATTACTAAAGCTATCACCGTCCATTATCACGTCGTTCAATTCAATAGTCATTTTAAAAAAGTAAATAGACGAAATAAAGTTTAAATTTTTAGCCGTGTCCGTGGTAATTTTTCTTTATCTTTAACTAAACTTTTTTTGACATCTGTTATTTATAAATAACATATGTAAACAGTGTAAATTAAAATAGTGTTATTTTTATCTGAAAAATTGATTGTAACCTTTAAAATTAAATTTATAAATATAACGACAATTATTTTAATCAAATCAGTAGAGAGAGGTTACCTGAGAAAGATGCAATCAAACAGTGGAAACAATGTAACATTCAATGATAATAATTCAGCTTGTCAGGCTAAAGATTCTGACACAAGTATTGCTTGCGAGGAAACGACAAGCTTGGAGATACTTAATGAATTTAAGAAAGTATATGAAAAAAGAATTGCTAGCATTGATCCCAATGATGTCAATAAGTCGGAGCACAAGATTAAAATAATGACGGAGTGGATTACAGATTTAGATGCACAAAATACAATGCTGGTACGTACAATTGAAGAGTTGGAAGAAGCTGCATGTTGCCGGGTTAAGATGCTTGAGGAAAAATTGAAGCATACGTCATTTGTGTTGTCTGAAAATATGTCCGGCTACTCCAAACCTTCACAACAGGTATTTTTTTTTATTCTACATTCTTTTTACAATATTATCTTCATAAATATTTTTAATAATTATTTTAAAATTTTATTTAGAATCTTAATGAATTAACGGATAGAATAAATCAGCTGGAAAGAGATGAAAAAATATTGCAACAAAGAATCCAATATCTGCAGAGTGATATTAGAGGACTGCTGGAATTAATACGACGAGCGCAAGTTGAAAATTGTTGGAGACTCGATGGAATTAATTTCTTTGAAATAAGACCCAGTGACATTCCACTTTCGAGCGAGTAAGTTTTGTATATTTTTATATAAATTTTTTTATTAGAAAACTACACGTGCAATTTAAAAAAAAAAAAATTTTGTAGTACTTATTAAATAATTTAAAAAAAATTATAAACGTCGGCTAGCTTCTTTATTATTAAATTTGTTGATATAAAAATATTTTTTATCTATATGTTTCAGCTGTGCATATGATCAGGTAAATGGATGGTCGAATACTGACAAGAAAGTACGATTTATTATAGAGTTTGGTGGTCCTGTAGCTAATATGTGTCCATCTTCAGTTGCTTTATGCGTCTGCGATACTGAATCTAACAGTCCGGACTTTTATGATAATAAATTTTATTACTTACCTTTTATTATTATAAATCAATTTCATTCAATAGTTTAATTATGAAAAAAAAAAAAAAATATGTGTATATGTTTGTTATAATTATTTTTTATTAATAGGCGATGAAAGAAGACTACAAGACTATTGAATTCACAAAGAACCGGCTGCATTTCGATAAAAATAGGAAAAAATCATTAGAGTAAGTTTTTATTATATTTCTTGTAAAGAACTTTAAATAAAATTATTTATTTTGCAGATATCCAGAAGAGTTAGAAAAAAAAGTCGATTATTTAAATAAGAAATTAAAAAGTAGAGATAAAGTGATACATAAATCCGTTTGCAAATTTCAAGTTTTAAAAGAGAGTTTATTAAATAATTCAACAGTCAATCCTGAGTTCAAAGATGATGTACGTATTTAATTTATTTATTTTTATAAGTATACTTTATTTTTATTTATTAAAAAATTATTGCAGATTATTAAAGTATTAGACACTGTAAAAAATGAATTAATAGATGAAAAATATATTGAAAATTTACAAGATAAAGCACTTAGTGATAGTACCGTCCAGATTGACAATAACGTCGACACTTTAAAACTTAAAAATCAATTAGATGAAAAAATGAGAGAGATTTCACGACTGAACCACCAATTAAATTGTTTAGAAAAAGTAAGTCAGAATAACATTTTGGAATAACATTTTTACTTTATTAAACAAAATAAAATTATTTTTACAGGAATCAGTAGAGTCTAGAGAAGCATTGACGGTAGAAGTAGCTGAAAAACATGATTTAATTATGAACCTTAAAGACCAAGTTACTTATTTAGAAGAACAATTCCGACAAGCAAATATACAACTTCAATTTAAAAATAATATTATTAAAGAAATGCGCAAAGATTTAGTTTCAAAGGTAATAATACAGTTAATTAAATTTATTAGGTTTGATACAAGCTCTTTATTTATTTCTAGCCTCATGAATTGACTCCCTATTTTATCGGAAACGATAATAAAATTATTGATAATTTGTCGGGCAATATTTACTCGAGTCAGTATTGGAAATTCGCGACTTCGATGAAACAAGATAAATTTAACAATAATAATGATCATTTTTCAAACGGTTCGATTGAAAATTTTCTAGAAATGAAAGCTAAACAAGAGTACATTGAAGATAAATTACGAAAACGTGTTAAAAATTACGCTGATAAAATAATTATAGAAACAGCATCGAAATTTCTAAGTAGAAAATCTTATAACAATAGCAAAAATAAACGCTCTAAAAATACCCTTGTCAACGATGTATAATACTCTTTTTATTATTAATAAAATTTTATTTTTATTCAATGCTTGGTTGTCCTTGAGAAGCTAATTCAATGTCTATAAGTCTATAATTATTAACATCTTACATTATTATTTTTTACAGAATGCGCTTTCAGGTACACCAAGGAAAGTTAATTCTAATGCACTTGCAGAGGTATGTTTATAGTTTTTATATTTTCTTAAAATTTATTGGTAGTAAAAAAAAATATTTTATTCAAAAGAAAATTAGTTGGAGTGATGATATGTCCGACGAAGGGTCCAATAAAAACGGAGCTAAGGTAATATATTTTTGCATTCTAAATATTTTACATTCTGAATATTCTAAATATTTATTAATTAACAGGACAAATTATTGCTGAATATCATGAATTTTAAATCTACTTCGAAAGAAGAATATCGTGTTATAATGGATACAAAGAAAGAACTCGGAAATATTTTAAATTTTATAAATGAAATGGAAAAAAAAGTATGTTTTTATAAATAATTGCTTTTAATACTGATTTTATTATATTAATTTTTTTTTTTTTTTTTTAGAAAAATCAAGTTGTTACAGAGAGAGTGAATGAAAATATTAGTGACGCAGTTTCAGAAACTAAGATTGAATGTGTAAGTTTATTATTAAATAATTAATTAATTATTTTTAATTTTAAATATTAAATTTTTAGACAAATTTGGACGAATACAATAATGAACTAATTAATAACGCTGATAAATTAACACAAATTATTACAACACTATCTAAACTATGTATAGACAAAAATGAAGGCTTTCTTCAACTTGAGTTTGCTCTACAGGTTTGTTAATAAATGATTTTTTATTTATTTATTTTAATTAATAAAAAAACGGTCATAATTTTAGGGTATTCACGAGAAAAATGAGCGACTCAGTCATTTAGAATTAAATGAAAAAATATTAGACATTCCAGAAATAAATAGACAGCAATTTAACGCCATGGAAGAATTTAGAATTTGCACAGTCTGCGCGCAGGCTGCGACAGAAGATTTAAGAGAAGAAATGAGTAATGTTATATGCAACTTATACTGTCGGCACCAATTATTCGTTGATCTAGGAAAATCCATAAGAAAAACAAATGAAGTATTTAGTAAGGCAAAAGAAAATTTATCGACTGTGATAAAATATTTACAAGTTCAAGTAGAAGAGAAGACTGTTAGTAAAAATACTATTGCTGCAAGAGAAATAAAGCTGAAGGATATTAAGAATGATGTTAATGAAACACGTGCCAAATTCATCAGTTCAACGACTGATGAACATCAACAAAGAGAAAATTGCGAAAATGAAACTGCCAATACGGATGCTGAAATCTGTGATAGATTACTCAATAAAGCCATTGACGAAGTTGACTATATATTGTGTAATTTAGGTATTTTCATTTCAAAAGAGGATTACGCTGTTATCCTTTTGACGGGATTGAATGATCAATTGCAGTGCGTTGAAGAAAATCTTGCGGAATTATCCAGTCACATTGATCGAGTAGTATGTATTGATTGTCACTAAATATATAGGTCTATAATTCTTTTACTCTAAAATTTTAATTGTATTTAAATATAAGATTACAATCGAGTCAAAATATTTTAAAAAAAAAAAAAAAAAAAAAAATACTCGTTGAAGAAGAGAAAGTAAAATCAGCGACTAAGTCAACATAAATTTCACTTATTAATTTTTAGAAAGTAAAATAAAAATTTGTGTACTCTAAAAGTATAAATTTTTTAATAGTTTGCTGATGAGAAAAATAAAATAATAAAAAATAAGAAAGCTACTAAAATTTTTTGATTAATTAAAAAATACAATTAAATAAAGAGTGAAGGTGTTATGTATCCAAATTAAAAGTACACAATGTATCAATAATAATAATTTAGCTTAATTTAAATGAGTATATTTTTTCAGCTGCAAGATAATGAGGCAGCTCAAGTGACATTCGATGAAAAAGGAAAAAGATTAGATAAACTAGAAAGAGAATTAGATTACGCACATACTAAAATGCAGGAAGCTTTAGAGAGTATTGTATCAATAAGTCAACAGCATGATAATGAAAATTCTTCAGATAATAGTAATAATTCGATTAATAATGAAAACGATAAAATAGTTTCAAATGAAGATAAAGAATATTTACAATCAACTAGCAGTGATAATGATGAATTGGATCAACTTAAAAATTCATTATGTTCCAAGGACAAACTCGTAAGTTATAATCGATGGCAATGAAAAAAAAATTTATTTATAAATAATTCATGAGTATGATAATTATTGTATTATTAATTCATTAATTTTGTATCGATAGCTTGAGCATAAAGAAGAAATAATTCGTATTCAAAAAAATTCAATTGAGATGACTCGAGACGAGCTGCAAAGTTTACATCAAAGATTACAGTCAAAGGTATGATAATTATTTACAGATTATACTAACTAACATTTTATCCATAAAACAAATTTTATTATTACTGAATATAAATTACTCTTAATATATATATATTTTTTTAATGAATTTAAATACTGCGTAAATTAAAAAGTTTTTCTTTTTTATTTTTTTTTAGGTCGATGAACAAACTGCAGTTATAAATCAATACTGGCAAGATCGAAATAATTTATTAGAACAGGTTTGCATACTTTTAGATGTAAAAATGAGCAAGTAATAAATAAGGCATTTAATTTATAAATAAACAATTTTTTGTAGACTAAACTACAGAATCAAACGATAAAGCACTTACAAGACGCTATTGTTAAAGCTAAGAAAAATTTAAATTGTCAGCAACAGCCACAAAAATCAACAATCGATTTGACTGTAGGTGACGTATGGAGTCCAATTACACCGACTGTGTTCAATAACGATGACGTTCATGACATTTAAAGCTTCGTTAAATCCAATTAAATAATAAATATATATATATACATAATATAATAAGTACGTTAATTATAATCTACAGAGTATAATTCAGTACCTGTAATAATGTTTAGAAATAAGATCCTCTGTTGACTTTCATTATTCAATGTAATTAATTCAGTATTCATATGTACAATAAAATTTAAATTTTAATTGCTTGATAAACTAATTAATTGTTTAGCTCAATTAAATCTTACATTTACACTCTAGTTTTCAAGTATCAGTGAAATATAAAAGGAAAAAATTATTAAAGCATTTTTTATAATGAAAAATGTATTTATAAACAGTATGGAGAAGAATAATAAATGATTGAAGAATTTAGAGTTTTTAAAGTAAACAGTATACAGTCTATGATTGCATTTTATTTAAAAAATTAATATTAATATTAAAAGTATTAAACTTGCCTACTTTAATTAATTATTTATGAGGATTAACTTACCATTACTTTTTATTTATGATTATTATTTAGAAATAAACATTAATTACTAAGGGTTGAAATATAAAAGATTGATTTTTTGATTAAACAAAGGAATGAAAAATTTTTATAAAAATAAAAAGGAATGATAAAACAAATTATTTTTGATTTTTTTTCTATGTAATTGAATCTAAATTTTGCGTATTAAATTAATAACAAACAAATTAACAATACTATCATCAAGGAGAATTTTTTGTTTGATGTTACACAATGGACAACTATAAACTTTTTATTACAAAATAATAAAAAACGTGTCGACACTCTAGTGAATTAATTTTTTTTTTTTTAATAAAAATATAGTAAGAATTTAATTGTTAAATAGTGACGAAATCTGCCCTAATTAAAATAAAAACTCTTGTTACTAGTTCCCGAAAAATTATATTAAAAAATATTTCAAGTAGGAAATGTACTTCTCATAACAAAAAAGAAATAAAAGCAATAAATATGTTTAGAAATAATTTGATAATTTATATATAAGATTTAATATTAAATTAGATAAAAAAAAAATTATTTACCATTAAAATTTATCAAATAGCCATATTAATCTTTAAACTAAACATTTGATAAATAAAATCATGATGAAATTACACTGACGTAATACACATCGGCTGCAGCAAATTTATCTCTAAATAAATTTGTAATATAATTTCTACAATGAGCAAAATAAAATTACAACTAAAGAAAAAAAAAAAAATTATTTAAAACCCGCATAGAATTTTGGCACTAATAACATATATTATTCCAAACATGTAATAAGTTATCGGTTAAATTTGTTCAATCAACAAAAATTATCATAGCGCTTGGAACTGTATTTTATCAGGCTCTAATAAAAATTTATCACGACAGTCAGATAATTAAAGAAAAAATATTAATAAAAATAAACAACTTTATGTTAGTTAATAATAAAATAAAATAGTCATAATAATAATTATAATTATAAAATGTAAGATAAAAATGAAGCAGATTTAAAGCTCCTAAATTGTTTTTTTTTTCCTTGTATAATTATTTATAATTTACCAAGATTTATCAATAAAATTAATATACAATATGCTTTAAAGTTATAGTTATTACACGATACAATCTGACGAAGAAAATATATATGATAATAATAATAGCAGCAGGAATGGCCCCTACTATCTTAAAAGTTTTATTTTTTTTGCGTGCCAAAAAGTTCATATTTCTTTTCTGTTGGTTATTTATTTTTTTTTTTTTTTTAAATTTATATAACTATTTACCATACACATAAAACTGTAGTATTTAAATCATATATCCTCATCAATTATTAATCCTTATTAAATAAATCATATTACACATATGATTTATAATAATAATAATAATATATATATATATAATGTATTTATATATTTATTTATATATTTATAACGAACACCGCCCATTACTACTAAAATAACAAACGGGACTCACCGCCTTTTCTTATTTTTTTCTCTCGTTCTCTTTCTCTCCTCCAACAGACCCGATACTCAAAATAGGTATTATTATCGGATGCATTGTGACATATTGATTATTATTACTTTCACAGATACCCTCGGTCGAGTTTTACCGCATACTCACACACTCATTAATTTTTATTATTTTTTTTTTTTAATTATTAATTCTGTTATTTTGTTTTTTGCACTTAAAAAGTCTCAAGTATTCAATGGATCGGTCATAAATCATCGTGGTAACTGTCGGCGTCGTCCTGATCTTCAATGTTCTCTCATCCATGTTATTAGTAATTGCAGCGACCATAATTGAATAAAAATTTTTTTATGATTATCATTATTATTATTCTTATTATTATTATTATTATTAATATTAATAATCAATATTATTATTATAATTATTATTATTATTGTTGATGGTAGTTAGCATTAGCTATCATTATTTCTGCTTAAACACACTCCATGTGGTTCATAAATCTTAGATGATCACTTTTTATTATTACAAATTCAATTGGTACCTCTTGACACATTGTACTTGCCACTTTGACAAGTACACAGTACATAAACATCTAAAAGATAAAAAAAAATAATTTAAATAATAATATTTCAAATGACAAATGTAAATTATCGTCATCATAAAAAATAATAATAATAAAAACAATTATTAAGATACGTTTGAAATAATAAATAAAAATAATAATCGGAAAATATGTGTAAAAATAACTTTTATTATCATTACCGATAAATGAAGACGCGCGACACCTACGGATTTGACCAATCACTTGCAGCAGTTGCTCGTCGTAGCTTTTTGCCCTTCGGATTCAACTAATCGACGACCTTGGCCACTTGTACCAGCACTTCCTGTTTGTTCATTCTTTGGGAGTTTTTTAGCTAAAAAATAATAAAAATTAATGACAATTTTTGCCGATGTTAGCCGACATTTAAAAATTTTTTTTCATTGAAAAAATCATTACAAAAAAATTTTTTTAGTTTTAATTTAATATTAATTAAACAAAATCAAAAAATAAAAAATGTCGGCTAACTTTATAATTATTGAAAATGAAGTTAACCAACATTTCAAAACTTTTTCTTGAAAAAATTTCAATTAAACGATTTAAAAAAAAAATTTCACATCTAAAAAACTTGAAAAACTACAAGTGCAATTTTTTAGAAATATTTTTTTAGTTGTATTTCAATTAATAAAAAAAAATCAAAAAACTTCAGTGTCATAAAAAAAAAATAACAATAAAAAACTACTACAATAATAATTCAAGAACTAACTGCATTTCTTTACATATTTTAAAAATCATCAATTTAAACTCAAAAAGTATATGAATTCATAAAACTTCATTTGCAGTAGTTACGAAACAAGGATTTATTTAATGACACGCACGCATACCGTGTCATTTATTCGTCTATCGTGTAAGGAGATAGCAGCTAATGTTCCGAATCCAGATGTTTAATATTTAAAATGTTAAAGTATTTCTAATGATAATAAATATTTACCAATAGCTAGGAATATATCGTTGACATTCATGGCGGTCTTAGCGGATGTTTCCATGAACAGTAAACCGTTTTCATCCGCATAAGCTTGAGCTTCTTCAAAGTCAACCATACGTTTATTCGCTAGGTCAGCTTTGTTACCCGCCAAAGCTATCACTATACTCGGGCTTGCTTGCCGCTGGAGTTCCTTAACCCAGGTTGTGGCTCGTACGAATGTGTCCTACGATAAGACAATTAGTATGATCAATTACTTGGTAGTCACCTTGACATCAATAATCACATTTATAATAATAATAATTATTCTTATTTTAAAATATCGTTAAGTAATAAATATACAAACTTGATTTTGTATGTCATAAACAACAATGGCAGCTTGAGCGCCGCGATAATACATTGGAGCAAGGCTGTGATAACGTTCTTGGCCCGCCGTATCCCAAATTTCAAATTTAACAGTCGTGTCATCAAGACATACTGTCTGTGTTAAAAATGCAGCTACACAAATCATTAAAAAAAATTAATTAATCATTATTATTATTATTATTATTATATAGTAAATAAAACAACAAATTATTTTTATAAATTTATTTTAAGACGTACCTCCTATCGTACTTTCTTGGTATTCATGAAACTGTCCTTTGACAAACCTGAGTACCAAACTTGATTTTCCAACAGCAGATTCACCAAGCAACACCAATTTAAATTGACAAATTTTGCCTTGAGTACCGTTTGGCCTCTGGGCTACCGTTCCCCGGTTAGCCATGACAATCTAAACAAATGAAAAAATATATTTATTATTTATTATTTATGAATATAAATAATTATTAATTAAATAAACACAAGTATGCAGTAGATTAATTAATACACAATAAAATAAAATCAATCGCATATTGTCAGCCTTGTTACACATTAAAATATAATCATGTTATTATTATTATTTTTAAACTATCAAACAATTATTTTATCTAAGTCTAAAAAAAACTTATCAACGATTAATTATACTAAAAAAAGAATTTTTTGTTTTAAAAAATAACACTCTCATCGCACAGCCGTGTAATTATTACTCCTTGTATGTAAAATATAATTTACTGACAAAGCACACGATCGTTATACATCCATGTACATAGTATAACATGGAGCCACGAGAAACGTAACAACAAAGCCAGTGTATGCCGCGTGACCAAATTCATTGGAAAATTTTAACATTGCCACGAGTAACGGGTTATAATTATGAAAAAAAAAAAAATATTAAATAAAATCAACTCACACCAGATGATAACTAGCAATAATAATAGTTACAATAATGACAATTAAGATAATAGTTTAACAGAGAAGAGAGACTAAAAAGCAGAGTACTGAGTATACACTCTCAAGGTATTTCACACAGTTAGTAAAGAATAAAAAAGGAAGATGTATGTATACGTCTTTATGACATTTCATTTACTCGCCCGTGCCCCCTTCGCCTTCACTTGCCGTCACTTAGTCCCTCTCTACCAGCTTGAACCGTTGACGACGCCGACGTCGCCGTCGTTATCCGATCGCCGCGCCGCCGCCCCTTCTTCAGGGCGTCCTGTGAAACGCTAGCTCCCTCATACTCATGACCCGATCTAACGCAACATTACACTCGTAGTAATACTGGATGTATATACAAATACATAAATATTAATAATAATAATAATATACGTAGACACACATACACGAGTTGTATTAAAGCAACAAATTTAATGACACTGAAGTTAGCAGACATCTAAAAATTTTTAATTTTTTTTTATTAATTAAATTACAACTAAAAAGATATTTTTAAAAAATTGCACTTAGAGTTTTTCAAGTTTTTTAAATGTTAATTTTTTTTTTTTAATTGTTTAATTGAAATTTTTTCAATAAAAAATTTTGAAATGTCGGCTAACTTCATTTTCATAAGTTAAAAACATGAAAATTAAGTTAGCCGACATTTAAAAATTAAAAAAGAATTTTTTTATTGAAAAAATGACTCCAAAAAAAAAAAAAATAAAAAAAAATTGTCATTTGTTAAAAACTTGAAAAACTGCAAGTGCAATTTTTTTGTTTTAATTTAATTATTAAAAACGTCGACTAACTTTAGTATCATGTTAAAAACATTGCTTGTACTCTAAACAAGTAACTAAATGTTTTGGAAGAAAAGACAGAGCCCAGATGGAACCAACTGTTTATTTTCACTGTGAAAAGTGAATTGTTTTGCATCAATGACATTTTTTTAATGATTATGCTCAACAATAGCAATAAATTGGAGCGACAATGAAAAAGACCAAGACAAAGCGAGTCACCTCGTCGTGGCACGAGAGAGAAAAAAAAATGACATCAGAAATATGGAGATGGGAGAAAAACCAAGTGTCGTGTGACTCACGAGCTAGCGTGACTGACACTTGTATTGCCAATACAATCCAATGCGTATATATATTTTAAATAAAAATGTATTTATTTATTTTTGAAACTCTCTCGACGACTATTTAATTGCTGCGCCACTTTCTTCTTACCGGCTGACCAATAAGCATTTAAATTAATAAACCACCACCACCACCAACAAACAGACCTAGAATAAAATTATTGATAAATGAGTAAATTAAAAAAAAAATGATAGTAATTATTAATGTAAATAAATGCGGAAGCGAGCGGACAAACTGAGATTATCACAATACTAGTTACTTGTTATTACTTGTTACATCAATCACAGTGATTAAAATTTACCAATAAATGTTACGCAGGATGTGAAGAAATGCAGCAAATTGTCAGGATTTATAAAAATAGCAGTAAATAATAAATTTGTGGTGTATAACAGACACACAAAGACACATCCACACGAATAGAATGAGTATCAATATGAATCGGTGGTGTTTGTCAGCGCACTGCTCTCTGCACTGCTCCTTACACTATAGAATAGATTATATATCCCTGGTTGTTTCAATCAACGCACCCTCCACACACCATCATCCGTATGTGCAATACAGAAAATACACTGGCTCACTGATATGCACATTGGTCTGGTGGTGGTGCCTGGCTGCCTTGTTCCCATCCCTGCTAATGTAACATGGCCGACAACACTACACTACTCTGTATGTACCATTCCCTCGCCTCTATCTCTCTTCTCTCTTTAGTATTAAACACTCACCAGTCACCAGTAGTCTCTCTCCTACTGACAGATTTCCCTTGTTTTTCTTTCTCACTCAGTCCACCGTTCCAGGCTAGATCCGTTTCGTTGTGAGACGTTATTAGGTCCTTTTTAATCAACAAACAAGACTCAAATAATTATATGTTATTCACTGCTTTATCTTAACGAGTTACCGATTTCACCTGGTTATCACTTTTATCTTTTTGGACTTTTAATACTTTATTCCAACTTGTTTATTATTATTATTTTTTTTTTTCAAGGTTCAAGTGGTACCAGCACGTCCCATGGACAACGAGAAGAATCGTCACGATCACAATTCGTAACCAATGCCACAACGCAACTTGATGCGACTATCACGGAAGTACGTTTTAATGTCTTCCTGTGGCGCTAAATTTTGAATTCCTTTTTCTGGATAACCTTAAAATTTTTAATATTATTATTATTGCAATGGATATTTATTATTAAATAATTAGAAAAATTGTTTTAAGTAAGTAATTTTTTATAAATGATATTAAATTTAACTGTCACTTAATAATTTTTTAATTTTTTTGAACAAAAAAATATGTTCAGAAAAATTATTTGCAAAAAAATTGCATTTTTAATAGATTATAAATTTTTTTTTGACATAATTTATTTGTTAAATTTTTTTTTTAAAATTATCAAACGCTTGTTAATTTTACCGTCATATTTTTTAAACTAAAATTTATTAACAAATATTTTATATTTTAATAATACTTACATGCGTGGAAAAAAATCATAATTAATAATTATTTCAATAAAAATAAATTATTTACAAGTATAAAAAATGAAAAATTACAATTTTTCAATTTTCAGAATTAAATAAAATGACATCTAGTGTTGATATAAAAAAGTACCCAAGTCCCCAAGTCGACGGGTCGACGGGGGTCTCCTGGTCTCCTCTCTTCTTTATGGATGAGAAGAGCGAGAAGAGGGGCGAGTGAGATAACATATATGCCCACAACTCGCGGTCTCATACGTTTATTACACACACACTGAAACTAAACCACGATTTGGGCGATTTGGCATACTCCAACGCCTTGATAGTGTGTCAATCTCTCATCTCCTTTTTTCTCTCCTCCTCTATCCTTTCATATATTATATATTTAGATATTATATACATATATATTTTTTTTTAATATCTTTATACATGAAGACTATTTCTACAAGTGTAAATAGTAATGAGTAAAAATATTATTATAAATAAAAATGAACTGTGAAGACGTGGTACTGAATACTGAAAATAATGGCGGACATAAAAACGTTTGGGATGTCTTGTAGTGCGGCTAATTCCCGTAAAATACTTTCTATTGATAGTTAAATGACATCCAAGTTGTTGGTGTGCATGTGATATATTAGTTTAATTACAGTCCGGTGATTTAATTAAAAGTAGCACAAAGCTATAACGAAAAAGGCGCAAACAGACAGGATTGATCTCATCTGGAGCTTCTGCTTACATTAACAAGATTAATAATACCTTTATATATATATATATATATATATATATATATATAAAAAAGAAATACCTCTTAGGATACAAACAGAGTATAGAGTTCAGATATATATTTTTTACCTATTGTATTATTTTTTTCTTTTTACACAGTGATGTACTTGTCACTCAGGATAATGACAGAAGCAGAATGAAGAGAAGGCTGGTACTCACGATGGCTCTGTGCATTTATTATCAGGATAACAGAGATAATATCTCGATCAGCTGATCGAGTGTGTTTAATGCGGGTCACCGACATGTGAGAACAATCTAGGAACTCGGTATTCCGCTTCCATCGGCGGTGACAAGCTGTCGATTTTAAAATACAATTCTACACTATTAAAATACAACGTCAAGCAGATATAATCGGGCGTGGATGTGTTTTTATAGAAATAGTTTTATATTGAAAAATTATTTTTCGGTAGACACCTTCTAGACGTTGAAGGTGCCCGATTTACATCAGCAATGGGCAATAAAAATAGCTGCTGTGGATACTCTAGTCCTCAAGGAGGTAGAAAGGATCCTATTGGCGAGAATACCACTCGAGGTCTTGAGGAACATCTTCCTGAAGGCGAGTTCAGTGTCACTAATTTACAGCACATAAGCGAACGAGAGCCTGAAGACTGGGATTCTGATCCTTCACTGCATCCTTGCGCTGGGACGATATTTATGGAGCGATCGAAACAATCCATCGAAAGTATGTATTAAAAAATATTATTAATTAAAGTTATTCACGTTCTTGGTTCTCTTATCCATGGTTCATAATAATTCAATCGGTTCTTGTTTTCAGGAGATTTTATTTTTAATTTTGTCTTTTGGAGACTAATTTAGACGGTGTGAAAATTGTTTTATATTTTTTATAATTTATTAATTTGATAATTGACAATTTTATCTTTATTTAACTATTGGGAGATGATACTAGAGACAGAGGAAATTATAAGTCGTATGAATGCCGAGATTATTATAAATAAATTTAACAGTTGATGTTTGTAATGGTAACCGGTCAAAAAATCCAAGGCAATAATGTCCAATCCAATAATATCCAATTGCAAATAAATCTAAAATAAAAATGTCCAAATGATGACATGATCGTTTGTAATTGAGTACCTGAGGAAGCTGCGAAAGTGGCGAAACGTTGTATGAAAATTTAATAAACATCAAATATTAAATATCCTTAAAACAAGAACCGATTGAATTATTATTATTATTATTATTATTATTATTAATGATCATTTATTATCTGTCTAATTAATTTACTGAATTAATAATTATAATTGTTTTTTATTCAGATGGTATGGTACGAAAAAAAAGTCAACATCAAATAGCTGATACGAGGCCTTTAAAAAAGAGCAGCAGCTGTAGTACTATTTATTTGGACGACAGTACAGTGTCTCAGCCAAATTTGAAAAATACTGTTAAATGTGTTGCACTGGCTATATATTATCACATTAAGAATCGAACTTCGCAAAGGCAAATAGATATATTTGATGAAAAAGTCCATCCATTAACTGTAAGTTTATATAATTTTTTTTTTTTTATCATTTATTATTTACATTATTACATGATATGTATTTATTAAATATCATGTAATGAGTTTATATGAGTAACAATATTGGTTTATTATACAGAGAGACGGAATTGCGGATGATTACGATAAGCACAATCCTGAGCATAAGCAAATATATAAGTTTGTTCGAACATTATTTAACGCTGCTCAATTGACTGCTGAATGTGCAATCATAACGCTCGTATACCTTGAACGTTTATTGACGTATGCAGAAATAGATATAACGCCTGCTAATTGGAAGCGTATTGTTCTTGGTGCTATTCTTTTGGCCTCAAAGGTGTGGGACGATCAGGCAGTATGGAATGTCGATTATTGTCAAATACTTAAAGACATTACCGTTGAAGATATGTATGTATTAATGCTAATTAGCTGATAATAATTTTTTTCTTCTTTCTGTGTTGTTAAATAAAAAAAATTTGTAATTTTCTTAGGAACGAACTTGAAAGACAGTTCCTCGAGATGCTTCAATTCAATATAAACGTCCCGTCAAGTGTTTATGCTAAGTACTACTTTGATCTCCGTACTCTAGCCGAAGCCAATGAATTAACATTCCCCAGTGAACCGTTGAGCAAAGATAAAGCTCAAAAGCTTGAAGCAATGTCGAGGGTCTACGAAGACAAGGTTACTACCGAAGCACTGCGTAATGGTATTAAAAAATGGTCCAGCTTGGATAATGTTTGTATGGGCGGCCCCAGACGTAGTATAGCCATTCTTTCGTAAGATACCAAACGCTTAAAAGTACGTGTGAAAATACACAAGACTTGTTTTTATTTTCTTTTTTTATAAGCATGAATCATGTATTTCTGACGATGGGACTTTGGAAAAAAAAATTATTATGAATAGATTGAACGTAGAATATTGACATTCCATCGTTTAAATAGGAAAAAAAAAATTAAACAATCGAGTTCTATATTGATAGAGTGGATAAACAAAATAGACTCTAAAAATATTAGTGATGAAAGTGATTTGTTACCAGGTTTTATTACTATACTCTTATTGAAAGACACATAGGTGTGATTTTATAACTGCGATATTGGTGATTTAATTGATAATTATCGTCCAAATAAAAGAGAATAATAATAAAGTTCACGTCAATTGATTGAGATATTACAATTGTAGCATTTAATTTTTATTGAATAGTAATTTTTTTTTTTTTTTTGCGTATTTTATAATTATATATCTTATATTTGAACGGATCAATTGACGTGGGGGGTCTGGATTTTAGTAGGAACGTTTCTGACAAATTGAAAGCGATAGATAAAGATAGACCCATTCGTCTGAAGGCTTAGATTTAATACTGTGTGTACGCGTGAGTATGTTATGTCTGTTATATTTGTATAAGTATGTGAAAGATCAGTTTTGTAACTTTTTTTTATTTCAAACCGTCATAAGACGTTATCTTTTTTAAAATTATTATGATTAGTTATGATTCATCATAAAATGATGATTTACTTCATTCAGTCAATTAACCAACCAGTGATGAATTTTTTTAGTACGAAAATTATTCGTTTAGAAATAATAATGACTAATGAGAATTAGATCAAAAGCAAGATATATTGTAATTTTAAAAATTAATTTTTATCTTTTGTCTATTGACTACAACTACAAAACTTGATAAAAGTTTTAATGCTGATTAAAAAAGTTTGTTGCTTATTTTAATTATTGTATACGCCAACAGCTTACTGAGCTAATGAAAATATTTCTTGTACGATTTCTAGGAGAATTTTTGAAAGTAATTTTTGCCAATTTATATAAATATATGTATAAATATAAAAGTATATATGTTGCTCCATCCTCGGACGAACGGGACTATATTAAAAGCCCTACTCTCTATATTTTTATAAAACACAGTTTCTCCTTACGAGCGAATCATATAGTGAATGCACTCTTACTCTGAATTATTATTTTATTTTTAAAAATATCTGCGTGTGTATATGAAAACTAATAGACGTCCAAACTAATTGAGATTAGGAATAAAATTTTAAACAAATAAATAAAGCAATACAGTTCCAAAGCATCACGCATCTTTTGCATTTGCCTCAATAATATCTTGATGAATTAACAATCTAAAAAAAAAATCATAAACTTAATTGAATATAATAATCGACTATCTGCCGATAATAAAATGATGTATGCGTAATATTAATTACGTATAATTGATAACTGCGCCAATGTTGATACAAGGGTTTTTATGTTAGATAAAACGACACTGAAAAAATGTCAATAAAAATATTTGTACTTATGTCTATAGAATAATGTTATATATTACAAGTATAATTATAATTAAAATTATAATTTAAGCCTTTTAATATCATCAGGACGTAAATCTGTTCTCAATGCCGCTATTTTTCTAACTTCAGCAGGTGTCAAACGCCACGCAATGGCATCACTACCACAATAATCAGCCAATTCTTCAACTTTTTCGATACTTAATATTGTAGCTATTTGCGTAAGCCTAGCAAATTTATCTCTCACAGACCACGAAGTTGCAGCGGCTAAATAACTCGCCAATGATCTTATTTCTTTATCCAAAATAAGTCCTCCAGCCTGTACAAAATCAAAAAATAAATTTTTTTATCGCTCAATTATTGCTACAATAATTTAAATAAAAATATAACGGCTGCCCAATTTAAAAACACAGTAACTAACATTCAGAAATTTTAAAAAATTTTTCTTATTAAAAATTTGCCTGCCAAATTGATGAAAAAATTTTATTTATGAACAGAAAATACTTGAATATTAATATTTTTAAGAAAAAATACTTGAAATTGTTTAAAAAATTGTTTTAAAATTGGGCAGCCGATATATATTATATATAAAACTTACCCTATTAAACGTCGATTTTAAAACAACTTTTTCCAATCGTATAGTAACTTCAGACGTAAGAATTCCAATGAGCGCATCATAATTCGCCGTAGTTAAACTGCTTTTGAAAGCCTCTAACAATCCTTCAAGATTCATCACCAGAGTCTGCACAAAAGGTTCATCTGTTTCATATCTAAGTAGCTCATCTTCATTAACCTGATGATTAACCGAGAGAAACGAGTCTACCCAAGGCGTAATTCTCGGTTTGACAGCACTCGATCTCAATTGTTCCATTCCGTAATCAATTACCGCGCGCAAGGTAGTGGTAACACCTTTCATACCCGCCAAGCAGCTGTCTATTTTATCCCGATCTTTTTGTTGCAACGAAGGAAAAGCAGCGTCGATGTCTGCAGTGAGGCTCTTGCTCAGTGTCTCCACGTACTCAATACTGACATCTGCGTTATTCAAATAAGCCAAAAACATGAGTCTTGCATACTCAGTGTCTGACGTTTGGAGGCGACCTTGCTGTATGCTACTCTGGAGCGCGCTGTAAGCCTGAGCCAAGTCTAGGTACCCAGCAGGATATCCTTGCCGCAGCCTTGACTTTAATCTGTTAGCAAACTCTCCTTCCAGGATGCCACAGGCCATATTGACAACAGCACAAACTCCGTCGACACTCCAGCTAGAAATGGCGCGTCTCACGCATTTTTTGACAATGTAAAACACATCATCAATCATACTCGACGTCTGCTGGTCTTGGTCCAGCGTGTCCATCCCCAAGGCCTTATTAACACTTTCCTCCAAAAAATATCTTTCAAGCGCAAGATAAGCACCCAGGACTTCTTGCATCGCATGGGACAGCTCAGAGTTTTTAATCATCGACTCAAATTCATTAACCTGCTGCTTACACAGTTCTTCATCTGAGCTAGCCACAGTTAAATCATTGACCACTCTTCTTCTCAAGAATCTTATATACAACTCAGCTCTTGTGTGCATTAATGTTAACTCCTGCAACAATAAATCCAGAGTCTTGGGGTCTGTTTTTTCGGTCATCTGCTTGCGCATGTACTCGTTAATTGACTGGACTTTCTTAGAAATTCCGCGGTTCTTCATAAACTCTGCAAAGATCTTTTTAATTTGCCTATCACACTCCTTCTGTAAAATAGTCACAGTCTTCAGTAGCTTCCCCGGACCGTAGTAAGTCTCAATTATCGGCTGGTGAATTTCAATTATCCGAGCAATCCCTTCGAATAACAACGTCATCGTGTCAGCATACACCACAGAAGCTCTGTCATCATTAACTTTGACTTCAAAAGCAGAGCGCAAATTTTTTTGCGCTGTTTCTTGCAGTTTGGAGCACAAGTACAAGCAAAATTTACCCAACCCTTCATCGTGCATTCCTAGCAGAGGAAATATTTTAAAGAAACGCTCCACTGATGCAAGATCTTCAGACATTACTGCGTCGTCGAACTTCCTGGTGACGACAGTTCGCAACTGCGAAGCTGCTTGTTGCAAAGTCGCCAGAGAGCCTGCAATAGTAACTCGGTCTTCTGATACATCATCTGCAGTTCTTTCTAGAATTTTTTGGTCCATTGATAGGTACCTGCGGACGTGAGCTGCTCCTTGTTCGTAATCTTCGTTTCTCAAAGCAGTTGCTACGCCTTCTGAGCAAAGTTGGAGGTCTAAAATGTCATGGACTCTGCTTTGACACTCGCATACTCGACTCTGAAGATAAATTATGGATAATTTAATGGAAAAAAATTTTTTTTTTTTAATTAATAAGTTCTTACCCTGGCTAAATCCAATTTTCTGACTTTGGCACTGACTGTTTCAGCTAATCTATTGGTTTTCTCTATAGTGTCACGAAAGTCTTCGCCTTCTGAACGAATCAAAGCGACGTTTGGCAATATTTTATTGATACTTTGGAGTTTAGCTTCAACGTAACAATATTTTTGCAGCATTTGCTCCAATTCTTTGTTGATGCGAATCTAATTTAATAAAAATTTTAATTAAAACACATCACATGTTGGCGTTGTCAAAAATTATTTTTAATTTTTACATACCTCAGCTTCGTCGAGCTTTCTGCATATTTCTGGTAAATTTTCTTCGCTTATTGGAATTTCAACACCACCAATTATTTCCTTGTGGATCATGATTAACAATTATTATTAAAATATACAAATAACAATTAATAAACATAGATCATCGGTACATCCTACTTGTCAACGTCATTTTTATTATTTTTATTTTTTAAGGTTATGAGAGACGTTGTGTTTTAGTCGACTGCTAGTAAAATAGGAGTCTCATGACATTTAAGTTATATAGCTCTGTCACTTAACAATTTTATTTTTTTTTTTAATTTTATTTAACAATAAAATTAGTTCCAAAAATTATTTTAAAAAAATTGCATTTTTAATTTTTTAAAATTTCTACATATGTCAATTTTTTTTTTTGCCATAATTTATTTGTTATAAAATTCTTAAAATTATATATATATATAATATATTTTACTATTATAAAACATAAGACGTCAGTTAGAGATGTCATTTAAGTAATTAAATGTTATTTCATGCAATATAAATATTTAATTTCTTCAACAGCTTAACAGATTATTCAAATATTCAAGTATGTCTTTCAATAGTTTTACTCATTGGACCCCCGCAGTTCCGTTTAAAAAGCCAGATAATATTATTTCTTCAGAATATGCCTCCTTGAAAGTTTTCACACCATCATATGAAAAGTAATTGGCTTTAAAAATTTTCCTCGCACTTACTAATTTAAATTAATTAACTTTATTGATTTAAAGAGAATCATATATACCCATGGAAGAGTTGATAGCTTTTGAATACCAGCGGATTTGGTTGTCTGAAAGAGACGAATGGGCTCGTAAGACATTTCCACCTAAAAATAATCATCGATTTTCACAAAGAAGAGACAGCAAGAATATTCAAAAAGTTTGTAAATATACTTCTAAATTCATTTATTTTTTTGCATTTATTAATCTGATTTTTATTTTTTTTTTTTTATTTTTTTTTTTTTTTTTTTTTTTTTATATATAGAATAAAAATGGTACCATTAAGAATGATGGTAATAAAAGCAGTAGTAAAACTAACGAGAGTACAGTAAAAAATAATAAACCAAGAAAAGTTAAGAAATAAAAGAAGTTTTTGATGTAATAAAATTTATTAAATGTTATTTAATACATATTTTTCACATAATATCACGGACTGAGTGAGGAGGTGTTAATACATTTGAAAAATCCATCATAATTTTTAATCTTTTCATCAAGAGAAGAACTATTACTTTTTTTTTTAGCTCCAGTATTACTATTTGCATTATTTACACACTTTTTATAATGAGTCCTCATATTACTGCTTTGTGAAAATGTTAATTTACAATTAGGACAAGCATAGGGCTTAATTCCAGTATGATAATTCAAATGTGTCTTCAAATGATGTTTTTTAGTGAAGGCCTTGGAGCAAATGTCACATTGATAAGGCTTCAAACCAGAGTGAAGCCGTGTGTGAAGAGTCATGTTGGACTTATCAGCAAACGCTTTATTACAAATGTGACATTGATAAGGGCGCTCTCCAGAATGTGTCCTCATGTGTTGCTTCAGGAGCATTTTTCGTGAGAAATCCTTCCCACATTGCTCGCAATGGTGAGGTTTAACGCCTGTATGAATACGAACGTGCATATTGTACGCCACACGTTGATTAAAGCTCTTCCCGCAATCGTCGCAAGCGTATTCTTTTTTATTCCGATGAATTTTCATATGTGAGCCCAAGTATCCACGATCATTGAATGATTTACCGCATTCAGGACAAGTTGCTGCAAATTCTCCGGTACCTTCGTGCACGCTGCGGTGGTACTTGTAGTTCCGAAGTTGCGAAAACTCTTTACCGCAATCGACGCAGCGAAAAGGTTTTTCTTTGAAATGGCTTTTACGGTGATCCTGTAACCATAACTAAATTATAACTCAACAACATCAAGTCTTATTATTCTTTATTGAAAAGTTTAAATTACATTGTTGCAATGTCGTTGGGGGAATTTATTTACTGAAAATTCTTTTTATGATTTAAAAAAAATCTACTTTAGTATATTTTATTTTAAAAATTCAAGTGTAAAAAAATAAATAAATAAAATTTTAAAAACAGCAAATTTTTTAAAACAAAAAAATTAAAGAAAAAAAAAAAAATACAAAAAAAAAAATTGATGCATTTAACGTAAAAAGGGTGCAATATGTCTAACCTTGAGCATTTTTTCACATGTAAAAATTTTTTCACAGTTTTTACATTTAAAATTTTCCGAAACAAGTTTAGGAATAAATTCGGTTGCATCTGAAGTGTCATTACGATTATTGTTACCATCATGACTTGTAACGGTACCCAATTTGGATTCATCCACTTCGCCAAGGCTAACTTGGCCCTTTAAGCAATTCAGCGGTTCTTTATCAAGTTTATTATCATCATAATTTAATTGACTGTTATTATTTTCTGCTACCAGCAGCAATCTTGAAGATAAATTTATTGTTTCATCTTGAGTGATTCTATCGTCGCAATTGACACGAGATTGATTATCGTCTTTTGTGACAGCAGTCTCTAATGTTTTTAAATTATTGTTATAAGTTTCTTCCGTACTGACAGGAGTAACAAATAATTTTTCAACGCCTACAGTAGTTGTACTGGTGTTGAAAGAACTTGTTGGCTCGTGGTGAATGCGCAAAGACTCAGATGAATAAAAACTCGCCGGAATGTTATCCTGAAACATTATTTGTCATATATATTATATTTCTTACCGTTTTAAAGAGACTTTAGTCTTTTGTATTAATTTTTTATCTTTTAAATTTTTCTAGACTAATTTACCCCTGAGAATAGCATCACGATTCAATTCATTTTTATTAAAGCCTACCCAAGATTTCATGTCAATTTTCTCTGCGTTATTACTGTATAACGGTATATTCTAAAAGTTTTCACTATAGGAGTAATTATTAGCTATATATGAATCGTGCTTGTCGGATTGCTGTTTCCGTTTGATCAAGTACCATATAAATTCGAATCAAAACATTATTCCAAGCATTAGTTTTAAGACTTAAAACCTTTAAGATTAATTATTTATAGTTTTATTTAAGATGAATAGTAAACGCACGATTCCTGAAAAATCTTCATGTTTTAACGAGTTAATGGCTGTAATAAATACACAGTTAAATTTTACGCCGTTCTCGCTTAATAAAATTCCCTTTTACGATTTTTTATTTTAAAAAATTATAACTAAATTAATTTTTAATTATGTTAATTAAATTTATACTTACAGAAAAATTCGATGATTTATTCTTGAGGATTGGTTGAAATTTTGGTTGAACTAATTGCGACCACGGAGAAGCAATAACTCGATTTGCTACATACGATTTTAATTTATTAAATGAATTATTATCCTTATTGCAATTAATACTATTGACATTATTATTATCTGAAATTTCTTGATGTGGTGACATAAGTAATCGACGCAAACAATGTGTTTTGTTTATTATTTTTAAATTTAAACCAACTTGTTGATGACAATAATCTTCTGGTAGATCTACATGAGCGTAAGATTTATAGCTTGAATTATTTTTTGCATCTGATAAAGTTTGAGCTTTCAAAGCATGTGGTAACGGAGGTATTCTAATTTTAAGAGCATCTGCAGTACTTGAGAAAGCTTCTAATCTCGCTTGAGGCACCGCGACACTTCCAGTGTAGAGAAATCCTAAGATTGAAGCTAGATCATTGCCCTCGACCTCTGCTAATATCATTGTAATCGGTTCACATTGACCTGCTATTTTTCCGTGTGCCGAAAGAACTTCCTAAACATAGTAAAAGAATACATTTTTTTTTTCAACTGTTTCACTACGCTTACGCAAAAAGAATACGCAGTCAACCTTAAAATTAAAAATAAAAAAAAAAAAAACTAATAAAATTTTTTTGTTACAGTACAATCATATTTGATTCATTCATTGAATTTTTGTTTTATTAAATTCACAATAAATTTTTTTTTTTAATTTGCCGTATAAAAATAAATATTTTTGCAAAAAAAATATTTATTTATAAAAAAATTTCAGTAAATAATTATTCAAATTATTTTAAATAAGTTTTGATTAATTAAAAAGCAAAAAAATTTTTTTCAAAGTTCTTTATTATATTTACTTTAAATTAATTAGTCATTAAATAAAAATTTATTATTTTAAATTAAGTAATAAATCTTAATTTTACTATAAATAATAATTATTAATCATGAGTCATGAGCAATTTATTTACAAGTGATGCGCGGAGGAGAGACATATCTCTTTTTAATCAAGCATAGAATAATCAACACCTGGAGCATTAAGCACTCAGCAAAAGTTTAGCTTTCAATTATTAACTACGGAAGCTAAGACATATTATTACACAGTATAATTATTACTTAACTGTTTCCATCCATCTAATACCAACGAGATAACCCAACAAGTGACATTTAAAGTAAGTAACTAGCCTTTTAAACAGTAAAAAATACAATAAAACTTACACGAAGATACGGACTGGCAGCAGATAGCACTAATCGATGCGCTAAAAATTTTTTTCCTCCCGAACAGCACAATGAAACATCAGCGAATGTCGGGGATACCAACGCATCCTTCAATAAATCTTTGACAGCGCTTGCTACATTGATATGAACCGTCTCCATCAAACCACTATTCCAAGTCACAAAAATTACAACAAATCTAAGTATCACTTCACGCCCATTAATATTATTTAAGACATAAATATTTAATAAAAATGAAGTTAGCTGACATTTCAAAATTTTTGGAAGTTTTATATTGAAAAAATTTCAATTAAAAAATTTAAAAAGAAATTGCACATATAAAAAACCAAAAAAAACTATTAGTGCAATTTTTTAGAAATATCTTTTTAGTTGTAATTTAATTAAAAAAAATCAAAAATTTTTAGACGTCTGCTAACTTCAGTGTCATAATATTTAGTGTGTTAATTATTGACTACTAACTAAAGCCAGACGGATTAGATAAAAAAGTGCAAGAGTCAAGGTAAGTCTTAGCGGTAATCTGTCAGGGTGACGACTGCCACCTGCGAAAGATCTGAGCTAGTGCAGACTCTCCCTCTACCATTCACCAGTTTGTTTCGGCTTTTATCTCAAGTTTCTTCCGCACAAAATCTTTATGTATATTCTTCAGTGCCTTCATTATCTCTTCTTGCCTACATACAATAGTCTTCAAAGGCATATACAAGCCTGCAAAGTGCCCAGTAATATATAAGTAATAGACGGGATTGACCAACACTAACAGGAAGAAACAAACCAGTGGCAATTACTTTATCTAAAAAGCAAACTCAACAACTATTACTATATACTTACCAGTGTCAATTCGATATGCAGGAAAATGCAACGACAATGTTTACAAACGGCTCGTGCGATGAGTATAAGTATACATCAGATTTGCTTGTTTAATCGGTTCCTCGCATACTAGATAGACGTTGGCAAATATTCATGAGTATTTACTCGACATAAACCTGTATGCCTGCGTGCATAATCACAACGTTTGAATCGTCTAAAGTTGAATCTGTCATTTTCCTTAACTTCAATAACAAACTCACATTTAACTCAACTATTATACGTACGGCGTATACATAAACATAAATATATAAACCATATGTCCACATGTCAGGAGTTTGTGCATTATACATGGCTAATACTCTTCAAGAAACAATATCTTAAAGTATGTGTACAGTTAACATTTGGTTTTGCTCCTTTGCTCCATTAGCGTATTCAAAGCACAATGTACTTAGGTAAATATTATTCAGACCTCGTGTACCGTTTTTTTTTAAATACAAACAACCTTCACAACTACAACAGCTATCCCTTTACTTTTATCGCTTCCCAGTTCAGTTGATTCATCGTGATACTAAAGCTAGCTGTCAGCTGTCAATTTTTAAAATTTTTTAACAAATCAATTTAAATTACAATTTAAAAATGCTTTTAAAAATTGTCACTTGTAATTTTTATTAATTTTCACATGTGGAATTTTTTAATAAAATTTTTTTTATGATAATTTAATTGCTATAAAATTCTAAAAAAATTTCTAATGTCTGTTAATATTTAATCTGTTAATTATTAATTGAATTAGCAATAAAAAAATATTTTTAAATAAAAAAATTGCACGTATAGTTTTTCAAATTTTTTACATGTGCAATTTTTTTTTTTTTTTTTAATTTTTTGTAGTGATTTTATTAATAAAAAAAAATTCTGAAAATTATCATAATAATAAAGTTAGCCGACATTTTTAATTTTGCTTAATTTTTATTAATTTATAACTAAAAAATATTTTTAAAAAATTGCACTTATAGTTTTTGAAGTTTTTAACAAACGAAAAAATTTTTTTGTAATAATTCTTTAATAAAAAAAATTATATAAATTTTTAGACGCCGGCTAATTTTATCTTCATAAAATTATCAGCTGTCTGCTAATTTTGTTTTCATACTTCAGTGTCATGATTCATTACTTCTTCATTGGGGCTGTAATAAGAAAAACAACATCAAAGTATTTAATAATGAAGAAATATTTATCAATTAATATTTACTCAACATATGCGCGTTTCATAGTTGCAATTATCGCCAGATAAATTGAAGATAATGTCGGTATAAAATCTCATATCGCAATCACCGTTTAATAAAATTTATTTACACACTACGTTGAAGAGTATCAAGAGAAAATATTAAACTTATAGCTCAATAAATATATTAAGTACTTTTATACCTTACATTTTACTCCATTTTATTGTCGGTGTCTTATTATTTATTATTATTTTTAATAGTTCTTTTTTTGTGCCTCCATCATTAGATATATGGAAGAAATAATCCTTTTATCAGTTGTCTTCTTAAAATTTAAGTACCTACTATGCGGAATAAAATTTCTTCTCAATTATAAATTACAATAAATTTAATCTGCACGGAGATAATTAACTGGGATGTCTGAGTTGGTAGACAAAAAATGTTTTTATACTTACACTTGGTTCCCTTAAATGATGTAGACTTTATATTCATTATCATTTTATGTTTATGTGTTCACCGCTCAGAGCTTAATTGAAATAACAATTAAAAAGATTGTACGGTAGATTAATTAAAATGACTTATTCAGGGAGTTGACGTCTGACCTCTGTAGTCGTCGTATAATTTATAGTGAAAGCTATATCATGTTTATATATTACATTTCTATGCTATCCAAGCCTTAACGTAAGTAGTGTAGAGTAAAGTTTAGTTATAACTGCTCAGTACAGGTAAAAAGTTTTTTCTTTAAGTTAATTTTTAGGTGGTGCACACCACAAGAAAGTTTACAGTCGTGAGTGAGATGAAAATGATAGATTGTCGCTGATAAACCAATCATCAACGGCATCGATCTCGCTAAGATTTGTTGCAGCATCAAAGGCTTCAGGTGGTATATGTACAACATGTTATTGATGCATCCATCTAACACGCAACTCTTCAATTATTCTTGTTAACAAACTCGGGTATTTATGTAGATCAAATGTAACTATAGCACATGATTAAAATGATTGTTAATTATTAGTCAGAGTCAGGGTTGGAACTATGTAAAGCTAGAGTCAAAGATTATCAGATTGATTGTGGAGCAGATCAATAATTATCTCGCATTTCTTCGGCGTCATAAATCTTAACTGGTAAGAATAAATTTATCTCTGTGAATGAAGCGCAAAAAATTTAAAGAAAAATTTGTCACCGTATAAGAGAAAAAAGTAAAAAGATTAACATTGGGATAAGCGATAACATCTGTTTCTTCTTCTTCCTTAGACGTACATTTGACCTCCGGGTTGATTGCCCGGTTCTGGCGAGTACAGAGCACGCCTTACCCTCATTCGAGGAGATGAAAGTCTTTGCTGCTACCTTGTGGACCTTATTATATGATATGGAGAAAAATACATTTCGGAGGCTTTTATTTTTTCTAAGCGAATCGCTTCACACTGCCGTAAGCTACTATCTCTCCGATGGATTTTAACGCCGAGAAGATTAAATGCAATCCCACGATTATACACGAGATATAAGTATACGTTTTATTTTGATTTTAACGGTAATTTTTATCTTGTTTTTAAAATTTTTATTTTATATTTAAATTCAATTTTTATTTAGTTAATAGTACTACGAGTATTTGAACTTGTAATTAAATTTATTGACAATATCTGGAAAAAAAAAAAAAAAAAAAAAATAGCTAAGATTAGCTTAATAGATATTTATTATTAAATTAAGCTTGTTATTTTATTTATTGATTTATTTAAAAAGAAATAAAATTAAGATTGTAACTTATTCTAAATTAAATCTACGTCCAATAAAGAAATAATGGTTGTATAGATATATTAAAATTTTAATTTATTTGTAAATTTATATAAAAATAAGTATAGTTTAAAAGGCAAGCGTCGTGCAACGTATAATGATTTCTTTTAACGACATTTTCAAATAAATAAAATTCTATTTGCTAATTGTCACATTCAGGTGATTGCTATCTAAGATCTTCTTCTGATTTAGATAGAGGTTTCAGAGAGCCTGGTTGTACCCAAGAATAACCTCTAGGTGATTTTTCAGGATCCAGCGGTTGTTGTTGCTAATGAAAATAAACAATATTATAATAAAGGAGTTAAAGAATTACTTCAATAAATAATAGAAAATAAAAAAAAATATATATATATATAAATGTATTACTCTTGATTCATATAATTTTTGTCTTATCGGCTCGTGAATTTCCGGATCCCATGGGCTAAATTTAAGATAGTGCGCATCATCCGTTTCCGGAGAGTCATAAACATGATCCAAACTATCTTTTACACATTGTTTAACTTTTTTACGAAATTCTTCTATATTATTTTCAAATCTACAATTTATAAAGTGTATTACTAAAAGATATTAATTGTTAAAAAAAAAAAAAGACTTACAAGTTATAAGCTTCTTCATTTATTGCTTTCAACTTAGGATCGATTTTATTGAATACTTTGGTAATAAATTGCACTAGGTGAAATACTCGGTTACTTTTTTTCCAATCAGAAAAACCAGCGCTTGTGCTAAATTCTCCAGTTTCTTCATGAATTAATGGATGGAAGACTTTTGTTTTAAATGTAATTTTCTGTAATATTTAAAATGTCAGTCAAGCTATAATATGAGTATTATAAATTAAAATTATTTATTTGATAAAGACTTACTGGACAGTCACCATCGGGAAAAATATCAGGTAACGTGATTATAAATCTAAAGACACCTCCTTGGTACATACCCTGTCGTACAAATAATACTCCAAACCACACTAATAGCAAATAAAATAAGATAATTATAAATTACATGCATTGGATGATCATGTAAGTGTCAATTAAAATAAATATTTGACGTTTTATAAAATTTAATTTTAATAAATTAAAAATGGTTATAAAAAATTATTCCTAACTTACAAATAGTACTAAAGTTAGACGTTTTTAATTTTTTTCAATATTTTTCAATGAAATTTTTTTTAATGAAATTTTTTTTTTAATTTTTTTTATAATTTTTTCAATTAAAAAAAAAAAATTTTTTTAATTTTTAAATGTCAGCTAACTTAATTTTCATAACTTACAAAAGGGATTTTGAGCAGAAGGTATTACATATACTCCTTTCAAATCTTGTGTTTGCATCAGTTTGCTAAAAATCAAAACCAACAATGTAATAAATGTAATAAATACCGTTACTCCAAAGTACCGATCAATGAAATATAAATAGACATTACTACTCTGAAAGTATACTATATTCTCGTAGATAGACAGCATAATCCATATTGTTCTGTGCAACATTTGGACGGTCAATCATTTTAATAGACGTATTGAGTTGAGAATCACCACAGGAGGTTCCTGGTAATATTTTTCTAAATGATCCTGTTCGTTTAAATCCCTCATCTCCTTCATTATCCGACTAAAATAAATAAACAAATAAAATTAAAACCAAACCTCAGATCTGAAAAAGTACAAGCGATCAGTTATAAAATAAACAGTAAAATTTATTAAATACCTTAGAGCTTGATCCTGGCGGTTTGGAAGTCATTATGTCACAGAGCTGTAGCTCTTATTTAATTATTTATTCATTTTATTCATATTCTTAAATAAATAAAAAATATATCAGTGTGTTTGTTTTTGCCAAGTATCTTAACTCATTTTTAGATTTTTTTTTCTCAGTAACATAAAACAATCTTTTAATTTCATCTGAAACTCACTGGCTTCCACATGAAGCAATAGCAATAATATATAGAATAATAGAGGAAGCAAAGTAAACGAAAATGTTGGTGAGAGAGAGAGAGAGAGAGAGAGAAGTAGAATTAAAAATCGAGTCATCGAGTGAGAAAATGATTGGAGAATGGATACAACAGTCGCGCACTCTTAAGGAATTTGTACAAACTTTAATGACGTGTTGATCGCTGTGTATTGTACACACGTATTTATTTCTCGACGTTCATACTCATTGTACGAATTATAATTTATATCAATTTTTATATTATATAGGTATGTGGCATAGCATGAACAACATAATATATATATACAATATACAATAAATACATAAGTAATATATACAAGAATCATCAGCGAATAGTGGGTATATACAGAGAACAAATACACATAATAAGATCTTAAAGTGTGTATAATCGGTTATTAAAAAAAAAATCAGTGTAATAATTTTAAATCAAATTGCTTTATTTTTATTATTTTTTTCCAGCTGTCAAATGACCATTACCATTTAACAGCAGCTCCTTTCTGCAATAAACATTTATTAGTGTGTAAAAATAATAATAATAATAACATTTGGATTAAAAACAAGAGATACACAATGGCAGCAGAGATAAAACCTGCGCCCGGCGTCAGCAATGACAAATTTAGTTCAAGTCGAAAACCAATATTACTTTCGAAATTAGAAGGCTGTAATGATGATATCAATGTCGCTATTATCATACCCAAGGAAGAAGGTGTTATTAGTGTTTGCGATGACAGGTTATTTTCTTTACTTCAATTATTTTATTTTTATACATATAATTTATTTTACGTTACTTTATTAGTTATATTTATTGTTTAGTCATTATTTTTTTTCTGAGAATTGCTTTGTTAAATTTATCGTCAGACATAACGATAAGATTAGTAGTAACAATCATAACAATATCGATTAATTACTAAAAAGAAATTAAACTAATTTAAATATTAATTTTAGGACTGTCAGAGTATGGTTAAAGCGAGACTCAGGACAATATTGGCCAAGTGTTTGTCAATACATGGCTTCTGGAGCAACTGCTATGGATTATCACGTTGAAACAAGAAGACTATTTGTTGGATTAGAAAATGGTTCTATTGACGTATGTTCTATTATTTAACACCGAAATATTATCTTTTAATGTTATCTAAAATCAATAACTTTTGCTTGCAGGAATTTTTATTGGAGCAGGATTATAATCGTATGACTGCAATGAGAGAGTATGTAGCTCACAGAGCTCGTATTACAGCCATTGTCTTTTCAGCAGTGCATGGCTGGGTAATGAGTGTCAGTAGAGACAAAACGTTTCAATTACACTGCTCTGAAACTGGGAAAAGACTCGGGTCGTATGGTTACGGCAGTAAGCAAGCTGTTGACAGCAGTAGCTGGTTTACAACTTTACAGTATCCTTTTTTTTTATAAATAATTATTAAATATTCAAGATTAATTGATGAAAATTAAGCAAGCGGACATCTAAAAAATTTTAGTTTTTTTTTTTTTTTTTAAACTATTACAAAATTAAAAAAAAAATTTCATTTGTAAAAAACTGAAAGTGCAATTTTAAAAAAATATTTTTTAGTTCTAATTTAATAATTAAAAAAAAATTAAAAAACTCGGCTAACTTTATTATTATGATTGCTATAAATTAATTTACTTAATGATCTTTAACTGTCAAAGATTCGACGAGCAATCTAAATACGCGTTTGCCGGTAATTACGAGGGCTCGGTAACGATGCTGAAGGTTGACAACACATTGATATCATTGGTAGCATTGTTTGCGGCGCATACTGGAAGTATCAGGTCACTGGCGTGGGATCCTGAGAAGCAGCTATTATTTTCTGGGAGTTTTGATCAAACAATTAGAGTCATGGATATCGGCGGAGGCGAAGGAGTTGGTTATGAGCTACGTGGGCATCGCAATAAAGTTACTGCACTATGTTATGCACGTAATGAGCGAGTACTGTTTTCTGGTGGCGAAGATGGTGTTATTGTTTGCTGGAATATGGCTGAATCAAGACGAGAAACGACACCTTGGAAAGAATCTGACACTTGTGAGGTAAGAATTTTTTTTTTTTAAATAGAAATCAGGTTATACATAATTAATTTATTTATATTTAATGTTAGTCTTGCGGACGACCTTTTTTTTGGAACATGAGAGCAATGATGGATCAGAGACAGCTGGGACTGAGACAACATCATTGCAGAAATTGCGGTAGAGCTCTCTGTGCTTCATGTTCAGCGCAACGTATTCCAATTCCACCAATGGGTTTTGAATTCGAAGTGCGAGTTTGTGATCCGTGTCATACTCAATTAAAAGCTGCCAAGTAAATACTATATTATAATTCTAACTAACAAGTTTTTACGTATAATTTTTTTTTTTTTTTAATGAATTATTAATATATTTTTTTAGTCAATCGGCAATGGCATCATTCCACGATGCAAAACACAGCATCATGTCCATGAATCTCGATATATCACGGCGTAAATTATTAACAGTTGGTCAGGATCGTATTATTAAAATATGGGACATTACTGCTCTTCTCCAGTAAAATCAAAAGTCCTGTGATCGATAAATATGTGACATATTCATGATATTTTATTTGACTCTAATGAACATTGTCGGCTTCTTACAACTATGCCCACTAAGTGAACTATTGCTTTTTTCATATACATAAATTAAAAAAAAAAAAAAAAAAAAAAAAATAAAAATAAAAAGCCCTTATAAATCAAAGAGTAAAAATATAAATACATAGATATTATTTATAAACTATTTTTATCAATACTATGATGGGCAATCTGTGCTGTTATAACTAACTGTGAAATAAAAAAATCTTATTGTACTATTTGTATATACAAAACTCTTAAGAGGAATTTGTACTTCTACGCAAGATTGAGCCTCAGAGGCATTAATTATAAAAAACTCGCTAGATAGTTTATTGAATTATTTATATGATTTATTAAACTATACGATAAAAATCCTAACTTATTTTTAGCATCACAATAATTAAAATTATTTAAAACATTAAGAACAAGAGTATATGGTGTCTCACTTTACAGCGACATTGCGCTTCCATAATAAATATTTAATGTATTAATATAAATATGAATGTATAGTATTTAGCAGTATGTAAAGAAAAGTTTAAATGAGATTACCTATTAAATTTAAAATTAACAAAAAAAAGCACTGTCGTATCTCTATTAAAACGCTTCTGTAATGAAAGTATAATCTTTCAATTAAAATTTTACTTCTATATACATATATGTAAAATATTTTACAAAAAATGTTATTATTCGTTGCTCCAATTCAGTACTAATTACTTAAAAAAAAAAAAAAATTATGTAAGATTAATCAAAACGTTTAATTTAATTGTTGTATTTTATATTGTACTGCAAAATTTGTTTGTTTTTTTTGTTTTTTTTTTTTTTTTTCTTCAAAAAATATAAATTGTATAATTTAAAAAACTGTATATAATATTTTAATAGACGTTTGGACTGAAACTCTAAAGAAACGCTCGATGTGATAAGATATGCAATGAAGTATGTTCAGTAAGATTAATAAGTATAAGAGAATAATAATAAACGAAATGAAATGAAAAAAGAACCGTCGACTGAGTAGTGCTGGGGCGGCGGCTTGGTCATGGAGTCTTGGGTCTTGGTTTATGTTTTCTTTTATCTCTCTCTACTTTGAGCAAGCTGAATAGTAAATGAAACTTGGTATACGTATCCATACTGCTTACAACCAGCAAACGATACACAGTACACAGACAGTCACAGGCACTCAGGTAGCGATAAGCGGTACGGGGAGGTACAAGGGGGGGTTTCTACCTCTTCCACCTGGCAAACCGGGGCCCGAGTCTCGTCGAAACTCACCGAGCGGACGTGTTAATGTGCCGGTCACCGTGGCCTGCTGCCGCTGCTGTGTGTCTAACGACTGAACGAATACCTGGAGTACATTCAACAATTATACATATAGTACCCGTTGCTCCAAGTTACAGTAAAACGTACATAACTTATAGCATACCAGTGTCCAGTGAGCAGTGCCCAGTGTTCTGTATAGTAGTACTTGACTAAAACCTTTAATTTTTAGCCCTGTGTCCCGTTGTCTCAGTCTACTATACACAGTACCAGTGTACCAGTGTACCAGTGTACCAGTGTAAAAAGACCGTCAACGCAGCCTCTCCCGAGGTAATCTCAACGTCGCGGTTTCTCTTCTCCTCCTCTACTTACTGTTGCTCGCTACTTCTCTCTTTACTCATCCTCCACGTCGTCAAAGTCCAGAGAGGAGCTCGGAATGATATTTTGCAGAGTGAGATCGAGTAAACATCAGCGCGAGTTGTTATTTGTTTCAGTGAGTTAACTGTGGATTAATAATTGTTTTATTTGTTGTTAATTTATTTTGTTATTGTTTTATTATTAAATAGATAAATTTATTAGTTTTATTTTATTAATTTTAACTGTTTGATATTATTGTGAGTGCAGACGAAACATTACTCCGTAGCAAAAAAATCAACAATAGTACTCTGATTATTTTACCCACATCGTTTCACATCAAGTCCACAAGGTATGTAAAAAGAATTTACAGAAAGAAGAAAAAAATTAATAAGAGCCCCAGATATTTTATTCACGAATTAAATCACGAGGCCGCGAAATAAAAAACGTGATAACCACACGACTTTCGTAATCAACTTATCGGTGATATGTCTCGTAATACTTAATGATAACTTTTTACTTAGCAGGAGTACCTACCGTTCATCATAATTGTAATTCTCGCGATTAAATATAAATAAATTTCATTTACAACATTGTGTTCTTCAGCCTATTTGGTCTCGTAGTTCACCAGTCCTTCAACGTCCCGTGTAATATATACATAAAGGGGCAAGCAGGTTGCAGGCTTCGCTGGAAGCCACCTCAACGTATTAAACCTCTCGTTTCCTCTTTATATATATATATATACGTATATTCTTTTCTTTTCTCCACCCATTTCCTCTTTTTCCGACACGCTTCTCTCCGACTAAACATTTTTCCAGTAATCCAATTACGGCTCATTACTTGTTACTTTAATTTCTCTATCTCTCTTTCTCAGTCTGCATAGTTTCTTCCTCAATCTCATTAAATTTGTACTTAATATCATTCTCTATTTATCGGCAGTTAATAGTGTCATGAGTTAAGTCTGATTTAACTCAACCTAAAAAAATATAAATTTATAAGTTATATTACACAGACTTTACTTTTTATTTTTTTTTTTTATACTTACTCATTATTTGTACTGTCGACATTTTAAATTTATATATCCCGCATACTTTTATTTGACACCTGTTTCTCTGCTCTCACTTGTCTCTTGAAGTAAAATATAACAACACATTGGACTTGGTGTTAGCCACACCTGTTATTCTTCAAATAATATTTTCTATTTCTACCCGGTAAAAATGACAAGTCAATTGCATATTGTCAAATAATTTCTAACGTTAAATAAAATCTAAACAAAGAAAATATATATTAATAATTAATTAAGCTTCATATAAATTAAAGTTAGCAGTCATTAGAGAATTAAAAAAATTTTTTTAACAAATAAATTTGTTCCAAAAAATTATTTTTAAAAAATTGCATTTTTTAAATATTTCTACATGTCAATTTTTTTTTCTAATTTTTTTTGCAATAATTTATTTGTTAAAAAAATTATTTAATATCTGCTAAATTTATTTTCATAAAAAAAAATCATAATAATAAAGTTAGTTTTAACAAATAAAAAAATTTTTTTATAATAATTCTTTAATATAAAATTTTTTAAATGTCGGCTAACTTTATTTTCATAAAGAAAAATCAATAAATAAATACTTACATTAATCTAAACAATTATTTGTAAATTATTATAACTTATAACCTTAAAGAAAAGTTCTTTTTGATGCATATCCATGTCAATGCCGGCAAGATGTTTATTAACTATGTTTTTAATAATACTATAAATCATAAATTACATTTTACCGGTTGCAAAGATCAAAGTACTCGGTGAGTGAACAGAAACTCCTTCAACGCTCAGTAATTACCGAATAAAATACAATTATTTTCTACCTTTGTTGATAAATACAACAATCCGGTAATAATTGTCAATAAAAACAGGAGTTAAAAATGAAGAAATAAATAATTGAATTTTCTATTGGCAAAAAGCCTGCTTTTACTTAATTGATAGATAAATTATACACATTACTTTCACTGGTTTAATGACAAATAATTATATTCTACTAATTGAATTTCTTCTCATTATTTATCGATAACTAAAATGATAAAAAATAAGATAATCATGAACAACGGTTCGATCAACCGTTAAAGTCTCTGGTCTCCGCTCAACAAGGATTGACATAGTCTGCTTGCACTCTCTAGTCTCTAGTATAGTCTGGTCTAGAGAATTTCTCGATCCCGAATGGAACTGTACTGAAACAAAACAGAATTACTAACACGCAGACATAGACAGGAAAAAGGCGAGGGCTGACACTGACCCCGGACGACTAGGATATGGTTTTACCGTGACATTCGCACGGCTTCTCACGTTAAATCTGCTTTATTTTATTTCATTTATAAGATCAATAACCCTCAGTCAGTAGCTAACCTGTAACTATTTAAACTACTGTATTAAAAATTAAAATTTACTTCCTGATACGTGAGGAAGATATTCATCAACACTTTAATCTTCAGACGGGATTTAATTACATCAATCAGTAAAAAATAACATTATGGTTTGTTTAATTTTTAATTACTTTAGTTTCATTATTATTAATTTATTTTTTTTCTTCTTTTTTCTATAAAGGTGATGTTCTGTCGAAGCATATAGATTCTGATGTCGCGTAACCCACTTTATGAACAGGTTTACATGAGAGTTATATATCTGTATAATACTTGTGGCACGCTATACGGTTCTATGGTAACGGTCATCGGACCAGATACATCTAACTCGCTGCCTGGCCATATTCACTGAAAAATCTTGTAGTTAACAAACTTTTTTTAACTATTTCATCTTCATTTTTTATTCCTTTACTTTTGATTTAATTTAAACTTCTTCTTACATTGTTGTTTCTTCATAATACTAAAATTAGCCGACATTTTTTAATTTATTTGTTTAAGTTAAAAAATTCGAAACATAGTCAATTTAACAATCGTTATTTCTTCACTAAATTTTTTATTGAGACAATATGAACTTTGAATCTGAATTACATGGAAGTTAAAAAACATCTTGCATGATATTATGCATGAAAATAGAGTATAATATTACATCTTTATATTATTTATTAATATAATGTTTTTTATACACGATAGTACTTGATTTTATTATGAAGATTATATTTTTTTTTTTTTATTATTATTAAAGGTGGCGGGCAAGCACGTGCAGCGAACGCGACTCGAGCAATGGTCATCGTTACCCGTGTAAGTATATAAAATTTTAATTTAGTTTTTAATAGCAGTAGTAATAATAATAAAATAAGTATTTTGGCTGTATTCGAAAATGCTCTATCTCTAGTATAGATACATAAATAACAAATTACCTTGTATCTTGTGA